GATTATGATTACAACTAGATTGCTTGGATAAAAAATATGAAAAAACTGAAAACATATGAAAACAGCTATCCTGCCCTGTTTGATGATTCAAAATTGAGTTATTAGTTAAAATAACTCATATGTTACTGATATTATGTGTGAGAATATCTCAGGGGCTGCGACTATTATCTGCTCTGTGGGATGGCAGCCTCACTAACTCATGAGACAGAACGTTTACCTCCCAAAATGTCAAACTATTCCTTTAATGCACGTAGGTTTCTCTTGCATTCACATGGGTGGATTTATTCGGCCAACTTTTTATCAAACCCTGTGTAAGTCAGTGAGTCTCGTCTCTTAATCCTATCTGCTTGTAGAATAATTGTCTGGCCTTCTCTCGCTGGTTCTCTGTACGCCTGCATACTGTTGTTGATATATGTTGTCTTTGTCAAGATATCAGAGTTAAGAGCATCTTAAGTTGACATCTGAACATAGAGCGCACAGTATCACATGAGATATTATCCAAACCTCCGCTCTGCACAGAAATATTAGGTCACTCCATGGAAACAAGAGCTGTGCTTGCTGCTCCAGCTCAGTTTTTTTAGAAATGAACTCTTTTCTGTAAACAAAGTCAAACTGAACGATAAGCCAACAGCAATCCAACATCAGAAAGGAAGTGCTTTTGAATGCATGTCTCATTTGACAGCTGGTGTATGATTAATTACTCCTCTAGGCTCAAATATGAGTGTGTGTGTGTGTGTGTGTGTGTGTGTGTGTGTGTGTGTGTGTGTGTGTGTCTTTCTGAGGGCCAATTCTGGTTCTATAATCATTTTTATGTTTTGAGGACATTTAGGCTGGTCCTCACAAATTGAAAGGGTCGTTTCAGGGTTAGAATTAAGAATTAAATAAAAAGTTCTGGTAAGGGACTAGAGAATGCTTTATGTCAACGAATGTCCTCATAACTATAGAGAGACAAGTGTGTGTGTGTGTGTGTGTGTCTGTGTGTGTTTGGGGTGTGTATGATAATCTGAGAGAAGAGGGACTGAATGACTTGTTGTAGTAAAGTTGATGTTTATTCTATAATTATAGAATGTTAGCAACTTTAAGACTCTGTCTCTTGCGTTTTGTGACAAAGTCAAATTCACAAGGAAACGGAAGCTTTCTCTCCATGATTTGGGTCAAAAATGAGAGCTGTTGTGGCCTGGCTCCTGAGTCCTGGCTGTGTTCCTTGTGCCATGAAAAAGAGCCTTTACTAAGCGCCCGCTTTTGAAATTCAGAGGGGGTGGATGGGGTGGAGGTGGGGCTTGAATATACATAAGAGGCTAAGACAGCCCGCCAGTCCAATTTGGCAGAATCTCACAAGACAATTTGCTGTTGCTTAACCTATTCAGAGAAGCTGATTGGATCTCTCCATTCGTTTAGACTCTGTGTATCCTCTCCGAGAGCTTGTTAGAAAATAATCCTCTTGGATCGGCCCTCTTTTAGAAGAGAGACGCTGCGTTAGTGATGAGCACAGGCAGGTCACTCACAACTGAGGCTTTATCCTGGATGTCGAATGTGGACAACGTGACAGGGGGCCAGTCCCACGACTTGGTCCTGCAGCACATTTGGGACTACCTCCACCAGAACCACCACGACCTCCTGAGGAGCCCTCTCTTCCCCGTGTTCCTCTCCGTCACCACATACTTCCTCCTGGTTGGTCTTTACACCGTGTTGGACCTGCTGGCTCCCACCTGGCCCTGCATCAACCGCTACAGGCTCCATCCTAACAGACAGGTCACCAGGCCAAACATCTGGACGACCCTGGGCATCACCATCTACAACCACCTGCTTTACATCTTTCCTGCTGCAGTTGCCCAGTGGCTGTGGAGGCCGCCCACCCCACTGCCTCGTGAAGCGCCCACTCTCTGGAGCTTCCTCCTGGGCATCCTGGGATGTATGGTAGTCTTTGACTTCCAGTATTACCTGTGGCACCTGCTGCACCATCGGATTCCCTGGCTGTACCACACCTTCCACGCCGTGCACCACCAGTACAACCAGCCTTTCAGCCTGGTCACCCAGTACCTGTCTGGCTGGGAGCTGTTCAGCGTGGGGTTTTGGGCTACGGTGGACCCCATCCTGCTCCAGTGCCACTGCCTCACAACATGGGGCTTCATGGTGTTCAACGTCTACGTTTCCACTGAGGACCACTGCGGCTACAACTTCCCGTGGGCCATGCATAACCTGGTGCCCTTTGGCCTCTGGGGTGGTGCACCCAAGCATGACACTCACCACCAGAGGCCCAGCACTAACTTTGCCCCATTCTTCTCTCACTGGGACTGGCTGGGGGGCACCCACACCGTGCCAACTGCCTCCAGCCACGCTGCCACTGGAGAGCCAGACGAGCTGAAGGGGAGAAAAGACTAAAGAGCTTGAATTAATCCCTCAGTGACTCCGTCTCTCTTTTACTATGTGTGTCTCTTTTGTACCTGCTCTTCTCCCACCAGTTTTTTTTCTCTCTCCTCTTCGGCAGAAAGCTTTCTCTCTTCCCCATCTCCCTGCCTTTCTTTCTCGTTGATATCGTTAAATTTACTATTCTGATATTCTCCTCTGCTCTCTAACAGAACATGGATATTCTTCACTGTTTAGGAACTGATTGTCACTCTTAACATTGCCTGGTAAGTTGTTGAGAAGAATTATCTTTAATGTTTATCATGCACTGTTGTAATTTGTACAATTATCCCTTATTCATAGAGATATTCCATTTATGTTAATATATTGTTGTTTTGTCTCAAGGGTATTCTCAGGTCCTGTTTTCAGTTACCATGAGAAATAAAAGTAAAAAATTAAACCACTTTTTGGAAATTTCTTCGGTTGCACTTGGTGAGTAGTTGAGAATGCGCTGATGGTAGATGGTGTGACCTGTCAGAGTGATTACACACACGTTAGCACAAACATTCTCCCTCCTCAGCACCGACTCTCTCACTCACACGCATGAATAGCGGTCTTTTAGTTGCATCCCAGTATGATGCGTGGGTGCAATACTAATCTATCATCTGTTCTCTCTGACAAAATGCTCTTACTGGAAGAGTTCTTCATTAAACTCTGCGTTAAAAAGAGAGAGCGTGTTTGTGATGCAAAGTCTTCCATATGTGAAAATGAGAAACAAACACTTAAAGGATGTCACTGCAAGAGACTTTGCTATGTTCGGTATATCTCTGAACTTTCCTGTGAGCCAGGATGCAGTCCAGGATCCTCTAGTATAGTGCTGTGCAGCTCGACTCCAATGTCTAGGTTAAAGAACCAAATGAGACGGGGTGTTTGCTGTCAAGATCCAGAGGCTCAGAACGGCCTACCACAGGAAATCAGACCGGTTCACATGCCTCAGGCAAAATTGTCTGCATGTCTGTTAAATTTCTTCCTGTACTGGGACCTTATTTATGAATCAAATTAACAAACTTTAAACTCAAAGTTGATGATGTTGGGGATCTGTAATGTGTGTGTGTTTAGTGAGCGATTTCTTTTAATGTTTAATTTAGAAACATATGCTCAAAAGAAAGATTTCTGTTTGTTACGCAACCAGCACCCTCTGGAATAAATCATCTCACTTGTGCATAGGTAAAATAACTTCAACAATTGCATCTAGTCAGGTCAGTGCAAACTCTCAGTAGCTAATTTTTCTCATATTTCAATCCCTGACCACTTGTCAGTCTTGTGGTTACAGGATTGATGCAATACGCCAGTTCCTATAGAACATACCGTAAATATTGTGTCAAGGAAATATGCAATGCAAACCACCACTTGCACACTTACTTCTGTCCCTGATGAAACCACAACATGCTGTTTTCACGCTGAGTTTTGTAAAAGGATATGAGGTGCTGGTGGGGGTAGTTTTGTTATGTCTTTAGACAGAGACAGACGATCTGTTCAACCTGTTTCCACTCTGCATACTAAGCTAACTGGCTCCCTGTGGTGTAGCGATATATTTAACAGGAGTGTGATATTGACCCCTGTCATTTAAGTCATGAAGGGGAATAAATGTTTTGTTTTTTTTAAAAAAGGTTTCCAAAAAATACTGTTTTTTTTTTCAGGAAAAAAAGTGATTTATAAACATTTGTTTGCCATCGCCACATAGTGTAGCCGACAAATGTAAATGTAACATGGCCCGGGAGTGGCCCTGTCCCCTACGTGAGAAAAGAAGATATTCTATACTCCACGGGCTGACAAAAGGTAACATGGCACCCATCGGCAATCATTTACCTCTTTAAACAGCCCAGAGCTCTACCTCAACCAGTCATTAAACAGGAAGCCGTCACCATTCACAATCTGTGAGTGTGTGTGTGTGTAAATGGGGGAGGTTGGTGACTCTTTGGGTGGGGTAGTTGCTTGAGACACATCAGCTCATTTACTCCTTATCTACAGATAAAAGACCAGGACCCTTCACTTTAGTTAAAAATAGCCGCCTTTGTTGACACTCTATTGCCTTTAAGAAGACATGTGTCGTCTTAGACAAGAGATTTAAACTGAAAATGAAACGTGACGCAGATTGAACTGTGAAACCAGAGAGAGGCGGCTCCCAGTGTGAGAGAGTCACATAGGAGGGCATTATCTGAGGTGTATTGTAAACATACCTGAGCAGTTTTACTCTGTGCAGGTGAAACATGGTGCTGTAGTGAAACCAGTGGGAGGACAACCTGTTTTTGTAATCCTCTGAACATGCCTCATCATGTTCTCTAAAATTCTTCAACCCCCCTCTACTCTGACCCTCTTCTGTCTGACTTTTCCCTGAGAAAAAAACCCACAAACATGCAGTAAATGTTGTAAACATTATTATATCAAGTTTGGGCCGGACACCGTTCTGAGTGTGAAATCCACCAGAGCACATTCCACAAATTCCTAACATGTCTGCAAGGCAGGCAGAGCGACACATGACAATGAGCCTCGTCGACATTCCTATTCAGCTGCACGACGAGAACTGTGAGTCACTCCGGAACAGGACTTTAATCAGTTACACAATCAAGTGAAGGAGTTTCACAGAAACTACATCCTGTTGTTTTATAATTTATTTAAGAAACTATACAACAATGACACCATTTTCTTTGGCGCATTAAAACTGAAAATTAGATCAACACTTCAGCAAAATGTGGTTTAAAATAAAAACTGCAGGAATTGTGCTAAATGATTTGACCAAAGTCACACTGACATACAAAAAAAGTCATAACTGACCACTGCATACATCAGTTTAGTTTGGCTCTTAATTCAGACATTGTTTATAAGTGGTTAGTGCAGTGAAAATCTTAGAAAAACCCACATTTATCTGTCCCGCAAAGACGAATAAATGTCAGGCCTTAAGAAGGCCTTTTCTACCTTTACATATATGCGAAAAAATATAAAAAATATGCATTCATGTTTCACATTTTAAAACCAAACATCAGTTCATAATGAAGTCACACACGTCTTAAAAGAACTTATGCTCTCATCCCGCAGCACAGTCATATTCACATCGGGATATGAGATACCTTGAGGTCACTTGTTGCAACTGACCGGCCTTATGTTTACAGGCCTATGGAATGTGTCCCAGTGCCACACAGCCTGTGTGATGCCTTGTTATTTGAACCCTAGAGTTCAAGAACAGACACAATGCACAATATCTCTGCTTTGTCTGGCTAACATGTGCTGCTCTGTGTGTTTCCTGTCTCTGACACGTATGACTTGCTCTTCCTGGAGTATTTCATGGAGCTGAATGAAACTCTCATCCTCTCCACAGTCCTGCTGCTGCGGCACAGCAAAGTGTTCTTCACGTGGTTCCTGAAGTCCTCGGACACAAAGTAGTAGATGAACGGGTCCAGGCAGCTGTTGAGACTGGCCAGGCATAAAGTGGATATGTAGAAGCCGTAACCGTTATTGATTTCTCCATTCTTCACTAGAACATAATGCACCACCAGCATGATGTTGCTGGGGATGAAACACACCAGGAATGTCACCAAAACGGTCACGATCAACACCACGGCTCTGTGTCGGTTCTTTGCTGCCGTACTTTCCTCCATGCTGTTCCCCAGAGCTCTGAGTAACAGAATATAGGCCACAACAATCACTACACAAGGGATGAGGAACACAACCACAGCCATGAAGATGAAGTAGTAGTACGGGAGCTGGACAGAGGGGAATGGATTTTCGGGGTCTTTTATGAAGTTGACGTCATGGCAGGTGGTGATGTTGAGGTCTTTGAGCTCGGCAGTATGGTCATACAGGTACAGAGGGGTGGTGCTGAGCCAGATGAAAGCCCAGATGGCGACACACACGCCAATAGCCACTTTGTTGTTCTTGCTCTGCTGGGACAGAGGGTGAGCCACGACCCAGTACCTCTGCAGGCTGAGACACGTGATGAACAAAATGGAGCAGTACATGTTCCCGTAGAAGAAGCTCACAAGGACTTTGCACAGCGGCTCTCCATAGATCCAGTTGTTGCCGTTTAAGTGGTAGGCGATTTTTAGGGGCGTCCAAATGACGAAGAGAAGGTCAGCCAGTGCCAGGTTGGCCATGTAAATTGATGACGGGTGCTTCTTCTTGGTCCTGAAGAGGAAGACCCAGATGGCCATGCCGTTGGTGGGAAGTCCCACCAAAAATACGATAATGTAGACGATTGGGAGAAAGACTGTGGTGAGGTTACTCTTCAACGTCTCAGCTGTCGTATGGTCCACAATAACTAGTCCAGAGTCCTTAGGGTCCTTAAACCCGATGAACCCCCGTCCTTTAACTAAAAATAAACATAAAAACAGATCAGGTCTCTGATTCGTTGATGGAGACAATATTGATTGTAAGCAGTTTATATAATCAATTAATTCATCTTCCTATTAATTCCACAAAAAACTATAAAATCTTCATTGCGGATAAACCAGAACTTCACTCTGCACCATAGTGTTTATAAAAAGCTCTGCACACAAACAATAAAACGTGACTAATATATAATATAAATATTGTAGAACTGTTTGGGGAGGACTCATTAATGACAAGGACTAATTCTGAAGCAGCTCCAGAGCATTTATCACAGAGCAAGACAACAGCCCGTTCCAAACAGGCAGGTTTAGGTCAAGCACTGCACTAGTTTACCAAACAAAAACTATAAGACAGGTTTGGACTCCAGCTTCTCAAATGTGAGTATTTGCAGTTTTTTCTCTGTGTAAAATGATTGTACAGTGAGCAGCTTTAGGTTTAGGACAGGTACTCGAACAGAACAAGTTATTGGAAGAAGTCACCTTGGACTTTGTGATCAACATTTTTCTTGTTTCTATTCTATTCTGACAGGCTACAAGAAAATATACGTACTTTTTATTTTAAATAGTAAAAAGTGACAAATGTCCATGGCCTCTTCGTCAAGTCAAAAGTGACATTATCCAGTGTCTTGTCTTTTCTGAGCAACAGACCAAAACCCAGTTATTTAGACGTGTGTAGCTCGAAAGGCCTACATTTCCTGACACCCCCGTCTCCTTGGAAGTGAACAACAACCCAGTGATAGAAACAATGCCCCCGTCAAAACATTCTATACCTGTCCGTGTATAATAAACATCGAGTTTGAAATAATCCAAGATAACATTTTGCTATTTCCTCCTGAGATATCGAGTCAGGTCCGAAAAAGACTGAATGCGTGTGCATGGAATGTGGACGAACTAGTTCCTACGAGAGAGAAGTTGCAGCTCTTACTTGAGGTGACAGAGACACAGCAGCAGAACATGAGCAGCAGACACAACCACCGAGTTAAATCCATGATGTCCTGTGGGCGATCTCTCTTCTCCTTCACTGCACCTCTGCTCGGGGACTGACTCTTAAATGTCGGACAAAACCTGAAGGCCACACCCTGATCTACCTGTCTGAGCGCTGACGTCACCGCCTACCCGCTGACGTCAGGTCTGAGCCAGTTTCTTTCCCAGTGAACTGTAACCCGATCATATCTTTTAAATACTGTATATGTTTATTTAATTCTGTTCACTTCTCTGGTTGGCTGAATCTTGCAGCAGCAGACAGAAACATGTTGAACTGTTTCACAATTTCCTGCAGCAATATTCTTTTGGTGCTCTAAACAGTGTAAAGAGTAAAAAACAACAACACAAAGGGGCTTTCTGTATATAAATACTGCAGAACAGAAACATTATATCAAAATCATCCCTTTAAAAGAAACTATTTGGGCTGAAGAGAATTTATTTCTGTGTTCTAAAAGATACATATACGTCTGTGTCCATAAACCTACTGTCATTTCCCTGAGTAATACTTAAGAACCATGAGAAAATAGTGACAAATGTCCATCGCTTTTCAAGTCAAAAGTAAAATCATCCAATATCTTGTCTTCTCTGAGCAACAGACCAAACACCGAGATATTTTCAGTTAAGCAAATATAATGTGGGACAGGGAAAATAATCATTTGATGTGGTCAATCGTTGTGTATTTTTGGTGTAAAAACTAGACTGCCACTTTGTATAGAGCACATACCTCTACCAGGGCCAAACAATTCAACATATGATTATCTAGTTCTTAAAGTAGACACACAGTATTAAACAACCCACCCATTAATGTTACTTAAAATCAAAACGCATTGTAATTCCGTGGCCCAGGTCCCATCCCTCCACTATGTTTGGCATTAATCAGATGACGCAGTTTAATAATAAACCAACAACAAAAGCAACACACACACACACACACACACACACACACACACACACACACACACACACACACACACACACAAAGACACATGAATGAAAGCCCAACCTACTAGACAGGTAATGACTGAAACAACATATAACTCATCGTGGAAGGTTGGTTCTCTGCTGACACACTCATCAGATTAATTCTTCTGCTGGTTATTCAACATTTTTATTGCAGAACCCACACAGTGAAACAACAAATGTTCAAAATAAAATATATCTAAAAAGCTTGAATAAAAGTTATCTGATTACATTTCATCGGATCTGCACTAACTGACAGGGTTAGTGATAGTATAGTATCAAATAATATTTGACTCCTGTGGCATGGATATAGATTCTATGAAAAAACACCTTACTCTGTTTTTGTAAGGCCCAGTGCTCTGAAATCAATGTAGCTTTAACAGTGATGTGACCAGTTCCAGTCCTGAGGTAGCAATACAGACTTAGCAGGACCAAAATGAATCAAAGAATGAAAGAACATAAAAACATTTTAAAAAAAACCATAAAAAAAAAAATTCAACAACAGTACGCTTAACCTATTTTATCAAAGTGTTAAAATATACACACATAGGTTGGAACAACAGTAAATGAGGCATTTCAGACATTTCTACTAGGCACCAAAAAGCTGCAGATGAAAACAAAGCAGCAGACGGTTTTGAAAACAAGAAACACTCAGCGTGACCTTTCCAACTGCCTGCCTGGCTCACAATACTGTCAGATGTTGTGACTGGGGGGAAGATACATATGCTGGGCAGGTACTTTTATAGGCAGACTTAAAAGTTAATAAAGTTACTTAAAAAACAACAACATGTAAAGATTATATCATATATTCAACATATTACATTTTTGGCAATTTTAGGTCTGAATATGAAAGTTAAGAGTTTGTCTCAATACAAATACAGCACTGACTAAAAGATAAGACACAATAAAAATGAATTAACAAATAAATGAATTAACAAAACTGTCAAGCAAAAGTGCATTCAAATCTGAAGTTGTCAAAAGTATTAAAAAAAACTAAATTTTTATTTGAAGAAACAGAACCTAAGACAGCTCAATGCTTCGATGAGCTCATTACATCTCAGGAGACTCTCCTGAACGTGCACGAAGACGTATCATTTCTCGTAAAATAAAAAAAGAAAGAAAGAAAGAAATCAATTTTATTCTAACCTTAAAACCAAAAGCATCGGTTCATTAACAATCAGAGCTCTGCGTGTTGCGTGAGTCGGACGTGTACGATTTGCTCTTCCTTGAGTATTTCAGAGCGCTGAAGGAGACCCTCATCCTCTCCACTGTCCTCTCACTCCTGCACAGGAACGTGTTCTTCACATGGCTCCTGAAGTCCTCTGAGATGAAGTAGTACACAAAGGGGTCTAAGCAGCTGTTGAGGCTCGCCAAGCACAGGGTGGTGATGTAGAATCCGTACAGGTTGTTGGTCGCCTCGCCCAGCAGCAGGATGTAGTGCACCAGCAGCATGATGTTACTGGGGGTGAAGCACACTAAGAACATAACCAACACCGTGATGATCAAGATTATGGCCTTCCGTCGCTTCTTGGCGACACTCTCGTCCATCATGTTGTTCCTGCTGAGCACCTTGAGCGTGAGGACGTAGGAGATGATGCACACGACAGTGGGAGCTACAAACCCCACTGTTCCCATTGTCAGGAAATAGCCTGCTGCCATTTTCTTCTGACTGGGCTTGGTGACGTCGTGGCAGGTGAAGATGTCGAGGTTTTCGATATGGACCTCTTGGTCGTATAGGTAGAGAGGGATGGTGAGAAGCCAGACTACCACCCACACTGCAACGGAGACGCACACAGCTATACGGTTGCTCCTCTGATGCACGGACAGCGGGTTGACCACGGCCCAGTAACGCTGAACACTTATGCAGGTGATAAAGCTGATGGAGCAGTACATGTTGCCGTAGAAAAACCCCACCAGCACTTTGCACAGACCCTCTCCGTAGATCCAGTTGTTGCCGTTGAAGTGGTAGGCGATTTTTAGGGGGACCCAGATGACGAAGAGCAGGTCGGACAGGGCCAGATTGGCCATGAAGATGGATGACGGGTGCTTCTCCTTGGTGCGGAAGAGGAATACCCAGATCGCCATGGCGTTGGTGGGCAGCCCCACAGCAAACACGATGATGTAGATAATCGGGAGGAAGACGGTCGTGAGGCGACTGCTCAGGACTTCTTTGGCTTGGGAGCTGACCCACACCCCATTATTGGTCTCTGTACCGGTGAAGCCTCTATCTTCTGCACAGACACAAAATGATAAAAAAAATGAAAAGCAGAAGCGCAACAGGTTTTTGTACTAAACTCTGACTGAACCTGAAGCTAAGCTCCTTTCAGCTGCCTGCCTTTTGACCTTTCTCCTCTCTGTATAGACCTCTGAGCTTGTCCTGTCACAACCATCCATTTAACATTCAGCTAATTGACTCGTGATCAAAGGACTTCGGACTCTTACAATCCAGCCTGTGACGACAGCCGGGATTCAAAATAACACGTCAAACAAACAGGGGCTATCAGCGCATGTAAACTCAGTATCTGGATTCTATCTGAGCTGGATATTGTGCAGAGGCGAGGAATGAACAGGAACACGTTACCTTTCTGCGACAGGACCGTCTGCAGGCAACACAGGAGCAGGAGCAGCTGGAGCCATCGAGTCCCAGAGGACATTACTGCACAGGGAGACATGCTACTGCCAGTGTGCGTCCGCGGGCGCGGTCATACCTCACTTCCTCAATAAAAACAGACAGGTTTTACACCTTTGTGATGTCACCAGGTCAGGTGATCACACACAAACAACACGCAGACCCACACCCACACACTGGTGCGTCTTCCTTCCGCCTGGTTCATGCTGCATGAATGACACCAGCACACTTGTATCCTTTATTTACTCATTTATTTTTGTTCTGTGTTTTCATTAACACTTACATATTGTTTATTATGGAAATGCATCATTAAAGTCAGTACATGAATAATTCTGTGTAATTAAAGAAAATATCTTCCTTCCGCCACATTTGTCTTATCTACATCCGATCATATTTCATGTGGGTGTTATCAGAGGACATTATTATTCCACTTTAGTTTTTAAAGCTTGAAGTTTCTATTTAAAGATGAAGTGTGTTGTTGGTGGTCCTTCTATTGGATTCACACAAATGCTCAAATGATCTATTCCAACCTCCTGCAAACTGTGAACACTTATTCAAGCCCTTATTTTAAAATGGCATTTGAAATTTCATTTTTCAAATAACGTTTTATCTAAAAAATTGTTTTTATGAAATTTAAATTACTGGCGGAGTAATGATGATGAAAAGACCTGGTGTTCGCACAAGTTACAGAATACAACTAATTAATCATAACGAATTAGTTAGCTCTTTCTCCGTAAACACCAATGCTTGTGTGTGTGTGTGGTCACACGTTCAGTATTTTTAATTCTTTTAGTGTTGCGCCATCTGCTGGAGTAAACGACCCTGACAGTGGAGTAAAAATGACAGCTTTAATTGGTCACACATTCAGTACTGCATATTTATCACCAGCAGGGGGGAACATAGGTCTAACTTTATCAAGATGGGTCGTATAACCCAGTGCCTGGGCTGTCTTGATATGACCAAATCAAAGTCAGTCAGTTGCATGTATTTAACACTTCAATTGCAATGTAAAACATAAAACACTTTTTAGAGAAAAATGTCATAATATAGACAAAAGTAGCAAGTAGTTTCCTTCCATTAAATGTAACACCTATGGTCTTAGGTTATAAATGTATAGCTGGTTCGGACATTTTCTTAACTGTGGATAATCTCCTGACATTCTCTGGAGGGGCTGTATGTGAGAACGCAAATGTCCAAGTGACAGCCTCCAGATTTTCTGTGGAGTTTCTTCAGCCAGCCCCCTAGGAAAAAGTCAGCCAATGTTAAAACACGGCAAGAGATCCTCCACAGGATTCACTGCAAGCAAGTGGGTTGATGATGTTTCTGAAGCGCAACAGACGCATATCAAAAATAAAAGGAATACAAATATCTCTGAATAAAAAAGTGTTGCCACACATGAAGAGGACAATAACAAAGACGTCAAGTAAACTGTGGTTGATAACGGCAGACGACTGTGTCCATGTGATCTGCACCAGTCCTCACCTGAATGCTGTTAGAAAGTTTGCATCCAATTCTGTGGACATCCTGTGGAGTCATTGTCTGAAAACAGCCATTAACACTTTGAGTGCAAAGAAAGAAAAGCATTTCATATAATGAGAAAACATTCTCAGCTTAATCTCTACTATCTTGTCATCATCAGAGAAGAATAAATACTGCAGACTAAACCCTACAGATTAGCTTTGTGCTCTGTTGGCTTTTAATTGACCTTCATAATAAAGACAATGGTCGACTACAGGTAAGAGTTAGTTAAGTCACTCAGTCAAATCTTCTCAGTAAAAGTCTCTCAGACCAGCAGTTTATTGTACTGGCTGTTGAGGTTGGCCTGGAATGAGTTCATCTTGGCGACTGGAGTGTGTATTTTGGAGCTTTCTGTGCGACTCGATTTCAGAATTGTTCTAGAGCTGGATCGGTTGGAATCAGATGACGAGAACCGAATGCTGCTGCCCACCGAAATGCTCTGACACCTCAGCGTGCTGGATAGTTGTTTCTGGCACTGGGATGAGCCAAAGTAGTAGACCAGGGGATCCAGGAGGCAGTTCAGACTCCCCAAACACATAAACACTAGATAAGCTACGTAAGAGCCATCAGTGCTGTCTGGGATCTTCTCAGCACCTCCGTTAAACTGCAGATAGTGTGCCATCAGTAGACAGTTTGTGGGCGTGAAACACAGCACAAATATCACCAGCACTGTTCCAGCCATCACCACTGCTCTTGTTCTCCTGCGTGAACGTCCTACAAC